AACCAGTTAACACAAACCTCATAACACAAACTACTCGTATCAATTGAAAAATAATGAATCGACTAGATCAAATCAAGAATTTGCAGCGGTGATTGAGAAATATTTCACTGATATTCCTATTTTGATAACAGAGTCATTGAATACTTCTCCAACTGTCGCCGAGTCATTACTCGAACAGAATGTTAATACCTGGTTAAAATAATTTAGGTTTGAAAAAGTATTACCACAAGATACTTTAAAATATTTCAAAACGCTTGATGTAAAAAAAAACCGCAGATTTACGTGGAATGTCCGTTATAGTATTTACGTCTATAATAGATTTAATTGCACCTGCTAATATTTTTAATACTGATATCGAATCTGGTGCGTTTCCTGATTTAATGAAACGTAGTAAAGTAATACCTTTATAAAAAAAGGTAAAAATTATTAAGGTCCTGCATGGCTGACTTACCTGTGTCAGTGCGTGTACGTGTGCGTGTGCGTGTACGAAGCGTGTGCGTGTGCGTATGCGTGTGCGTGTGCGTGTGCTTGTGCGTGTGCGTATGCGTGTGCGTGTGCGTGTGCGTGTGCGTGTAGGTGTGTGTGTGTGTGTGTGTGTGTGTGTGTGTGTGTGTGTGTGTGTGTCCACCTAACTGTATTATTATTATTTAGTGATTTTTCTAATATCTCTGATATGGATCTCATTTTTTATCCGAAATAAAGATTTATTATTATTATCTGGGTTATCTATAAAGTTTTCTCATCTGGTTGGACTGTATAATTATATAATTGTAAATAAAAATGATAAACATACATAATATCAACAAAATAAAATAAATACATAAAAAATACATAAGTAAATAAAAACGCAACCAGACGGAAGCCCTCGGCAGGGGAGACCAAACGGCCGAGGGTTAGGGGGAAAGGGGCGGTGTCGAGGAGCATCGCCTTCGGCATTTGAGCTTGGAGCAGTCCGTCACGGAGTCCCAGTCGCCTCAGATAACCCGAGAGGCTGACTGGTATTAACCCGTTCGCAGAAACGACTACAGGTATAATTTCAGCCGGCAGTCCGCCCCACATGTCGGTCACCTCGTGAGCCAGGTCCAGATATTTTGTACGCTTATTTGTTTCGGCTTTCACGAGGTTCTCGTCATACGGAATGGTAATGTCGACCAAAAATATCCTTGAGTGCCCGGTCCATCAGCACAATATCAGGCTTATTCGCAAGAATGGTCCTGTCTGTGATGAAGGCCCAGTCCCAGTAGAGCCTGGCGTGGTAATTTTCGAGCACGGCTTCCCGCCTGTACTTATAATAAGGCAGTTTCCGATCCACGAGACCGTGTTTCAGAGCGAGCTCCTGGTGTAGAATCCTGGCTACTAGGTTGTGCCTATGCAAGTACTCAGAGTTAGGAAGCGCCGAACAACCGGAGATGACATGCCTAAGTGATTCACCGGGATGGCAACAAGCTCGACAAATGACGACGGTGCCAGGATAGGATGTATCTCCGATAGTTGTTGGTCTTAATAACCTGATCCTGTATTGCACAGACAAAACCCTCGGTTTCCCCGAAGAGGTCACCAAAACGTAGCCAGTGGAGGAAGGCAACTGTGTCTACGAAAGGCTCATGTAGAGCCTTGTAGAACCTCCCGTGGAGCTCCTTCTCCTTCCACACGGTCTCCCGGTCGGAAATGCTCTGTACTGCCGGGTCTTGCCATTGCTCGTTGGCTAAGGATAGAGGGGTAAGTCCTTTATCACAATTATTATATAATAATAATAATAATAATAATACACACTATTATAAAAAAAAAACAAGTCTCATTTCTATCAATATAATGCTTTTACATATTTGAGACCTTCCACTTATTTGATTACCTTACTATCACGTATCTTTTATATTTGTTGCTTCAAGCCACAAGTTTGCTATTTATAATGCTTATGCATCTGAGATACCTTCTTTATTATTGTTTTTATATCATAGACCTTACTATCACTATGTCATTAATAGTCTCAATACATGGTGCAACAGTACCTCGATAGTCAGCCACCTTACTACCACATATATACATACATATTACCTGAACACAGCAGTATTAAGCTGCTTTTTCACGCTGGTATTCTGTGAGAGCGTGGTCCTCCCCAGGTCAAGCCGCCCCATTTTTGATACAAACATATAGGTACAGCGTGACTCTACCACGTATAACTACAACTATTATCTATAAAGAAACGAAATGCAGATGCGTTGTTACCTCTGAGGATTAAAATGGAATTATAAAGTAGACTTTTCGGTTGTCTACTATGGTCTATACTATGCATACTACCATTTAACGCTGGTATTCTCCGAAAGCGTGATCAATCGCAGATCGAGCGGACATATTCGTACTGCAACCATAATGCGCTGCAGGTTGCAGGTGGTTATCTGGGTACTAATTAGTATGTTACAAAAATACGCTTGTCTCATTTTATTTTCATAGAAGTATTACGTTGAAAATCGCATAATTTTTTATTTATAAATATTGTTGGAAACATAATTAAACTAATAACACGATAAAACAACAATCAAATTTCCATTTTAAATTATTTATTTACTATGTTTAAGTCACGCAATCATTTTTCTATTGGTTAGCATGTTGTTGATAACACACGCGACTCCGTCCTTGCACATAATCAGACTAAAATAACTTTTAATAACCAAAGGGTATAAACTTCTTTGCGTAGAATATTTAATATGTATATATGGTTATAAATAATAAAAAATAATTTAATATGATTATTTTCGAACGTGGTAGAACTAGCATAGTACTGCAGCTATATTACGAATGTATCACGAATGGTTTGGCGCAACCAGTAAAGACCCACGCTCGCACAAAATAGCAGCGTAAAATAACAGTATTATAGCAGTTTCATATGGTGAGTGTAGATATCTGGAAACCCGATTAAACTTCTACCCACTTACCATCTGGTGTACTGTCTGCACATTTTTCATCCTTATTCCTATAAAAAAATCTTTCTTCGAGTTCTTGTTTAGGATTGATTTCCACCAAAAAATGCCTCCCTTTAACTGTTTAATGTCACTTTCATTTTGTTTTAATTCTTTTAAATAGATTGTGAGAGAAAAATCATTTTTAGGAAATGATAAAATCTTAAGGTATGTTTTGAATTATTAAAATAAATATTTTAAGCAAAATTTTATACCATTTGTCCCACTAGGAAAAATATAACGGCAAAAAATTATAATATGCTTAAATAGTGCTACAAGTGTCAGTGCTTAACACTGAAAACTATTTTTGATGTATTCTAAAATTTTAATAACAATAAATTTTAATAATATTTTCATTTAAAAAAATTATATTACGAAATTAATTTTCTTATTAAAAATACTTTGATCATTTGCTTACAAATTTTGATGGGCACTGTCAACTCAATATATGAAGTTAAGCGGTAAGTGCTCGCCGTGAATTTCATGTACGTGAGCAAATATGGCGCAATTCCCAATTTCGATTTTAAATTCTGATTTACCACTTGTTCTATGGTTATGGAAAATTTTTTGAGGAAGAGTCTGAGGAATAAAACTACTTCGAAGCAATGTGATGTTCACTAACACGCCTTGGAGCAGTGCTGTGGTTGATTGATCCATTATCCTCTCAGAAATTGGAGGAGGCCTGTGTCCGGCAATGGGACGTATATTGACTATAACTTTACTTTGCTATGTCACTTCTGCCCGGTGACATATTTCAACAGTATACGCAATTTTTGTCGATTATTGAAATAGGCTAACAAGTGCGTATGAAATAAAAATCGATACCTTCACACTGGTAATATGATCTCTGTCATCAGTCTATTAGGTTTATTTTCAGTTTTCAATGAACTTTCCGCAATTATTCTATTAACATATATATGGAAATCCCTCGTTCATTCGGTTTATCTAAATAACATCACAGACAGGTGTGTATGAAGTGTAAGAAAAACTGTATAATAATCACACATTAAAAGCCGACTCCTAATAATTAATTTGTCCAATACAAAATTATTGAGCTCGGTAGGTGTCCCGATTATTGCAACACAAGTGAAACTCTAGGTTCTTAACTCCTTATTACAATATATTAGTCCAAAACGTAAGTAAAGTATTATATTGTTGACATAATTTCGTCATATGCATTCGTTAAATATTATTTGAAAACAGAAGCATCCACTTTTTAACTATATTTTATTTAAAAAAAATATGTGGTTCAACTGAATCTGCACTTGACACACTAATTATCTTTTATTTACTTAAATAATACTCATGTGCCTTTATTCATTACACCCTCATAGATATGCTGGTAATATATTGCTCATATAAGGGGGATATTTATGATGCTTCGCTTAGTAGGCGGGTTGGCAACTGTGATTTTTTGTTATTATAGTTTTATTACCAGGAAGATTCTGCTTCCTTTTTCCTTATTCATTTTCTCTCTGTCATATCTTACAACATCCACGGGATGATAGGAGGACGTGAATTCCTCTTACGCATCTCTGCTTTCTCATATACCTACGACTATATGATTAAAATGAATATTTTCATGAATAAAATTAGTTGAAAATGTCTTAAATTTGCAGCTTTGTAGGAAGTCAAGTTATCTATTCATTATGTTTTTAGTTTACAAGAAAATTCAAAAGGATGACGTGAAATGAAATCGCCACAACTTTTTTTAAATTTTTATTCGTAAATCGACTGTTTGCAGTATATGAATTCGAGTTTCAAGTTAGAAATATACATAATATATAATATCTAAATATATTTTATGTACAGATAAATAGAAAAGTAGTCGAATATAATAATCGGCTATCGATAGAGTTGAGCGGCGAGAGTGCAGGCAACCGGCGGGAAGCGGTGCGGACGAGGGCGCAGCTCGCCATAAAACCTTTAGAAAAATAGATAAATTGCTCAAAAACGTCAGAGTCAGTCGAGAAGATAGAAGAGAGGAGAACACATGATAGTACTGCCGGTGTAAACGCGTTCTAGACGCGTTCAAAGCCCGGCTCACGCATACTCCGTGTCCGTTGACAGGGAACGCTCAGCGGGTGAGCGCCGGCCTCCAGCTTCCGCCGTTGTTGGTTCACCAGCCTGCGCTTGCGCGTATGCAAGGCTCTTCTGATAGCTGAACAGTTGCCGCTCGAGTGAATAGTTTTCTGCCTGCAACGCAGCTATCTCTCGTCTGGAATTGCATATTATAAAGCATTAGTTCCTCTCTTTCTATACCTATTTAATTAGACCTATTTTAACACCCACAATTGACTCTTACGGCAACTACGTGCTGAGTGATCGTTTCACTTATGCCGTCATCACGTGGCACACTATATCATCTTATTTTTCATTAGCAAGTCAAGTCTACTGCTGAATATGCGCCTCTTCCGTTTTAGAGGGCATTAATCTTCAAGACTGACAGACGGATTGACGGTCACAGCACTAGACGTCTCGCACCTTTGACGCTGCCCCACATAGCTGGTCTATGTATTTTACGTCTGAAGTTAACGACATGGCTATACCGCTGTCTATTGAAAACTATTAGATATTTCTGGCATATACTCGTACCATTTTTGACTTTTACATCACCCACAGGACAAAATGACATGCTTGATTGCTTACAATAGGGTATTGTAATCTCGTTGTTAATGTAATGTATTAAATACATGTATCTACTTTATTATAGACCACAAAATATTTAAAAAAAACAGATGACAGGAAAAAAACTTAGAAATAACCTCAACTCTTTAGCGATTTTATCGCTAAAGAGCGGTCTCTTCCAGACAATCTTTAGATAAAGGCGAAAATTGAACTACTGGACAGTAGTGGTGATATTTATTGTAATAATAACCTGCTATTACCTAAATGAACCAAACAAACATATAATATTATAATAAAAAATTATAAAAAAATAAAAAATATATTAGACATATATTAAACCAAATAAGCTACTTTCAAATATAGTGTAATTTTTGGGTAAGACATGCTGTTTTTAATACCAACCTCATTTGATGAGCATGTAAGCGACAAAGATCGTCGTAAACATGATACGTAGCCTGGAAGAGTAAGTACGTGTCGCCCCATTCAAGTCGCACGCGAAGCTCGCCGCCTGCGTGTAGAAATGCGCAGCCGGAACGAGAAATATCTTCTACCCTCAGGGCTGTCTCCATCATAATACCCTCATCGGCACTGTCTTGCGCATAGTAATGCTCAAACGGTGCGCCTGGCAATTCATCAGCATCAGGTTCGCCAGGGGCTGGTGACGCTCGAACCAGCCAGGCTGACCAGCTGACGTATCGCAGATGATTACGAGGTACATTATTCACGTCGCGATAGAGCATATGTAAGCGCACAGTTTCCGAGTGAGTGTCGCACCGAATCGCCCATGCTTGTTTGTCCCGATCGTAGCAAGTTGCTGCTCTACCAGCAGCCGGCACCGCCAGCTCGGCCAAAGCGCGTGCCCACACTAGCTCTACAGTCAATCGGACACCTTTATTAAGAATGCGTGAAGGAGGGCGAGGGTTCCAAGGAGGGGTCCGTCCATCGGGATCGCAGACACATTCAAGTGCTCCCGAATGCAATCGTCGTTCGCCTTCCCCTAAAGCGAGCGCATAACGAACACGACAGCGTTGACCTTCTCCAGATAAACGCACCAACCGCAGTGTCAAGGGCTCCTTGTTACCACCACTCGCTGATACTGACCAATCGAAGCCGGCGAAAGCTATTGGTGGTGTGTCGAGGCGAGGAGCTCTTAACTCGCAGGAGAACAATGTGCGGACTCTTGACATTGTGAGTTCGAGCTGGAATTCCCCCCGAGCGTCCGCAAACTTAGCATTGAGCTCAGCGAGTGTGATGTAACGACCACGACCCTGCGCTGCGCAACCAGCACTGAACCGGACTTGTTTGCCCGAGAAACCCTCATTGGCGGTAAAATGATCACGGCTAAGCAGCGTGAAGGTGAAGTCCACGTAAACACGCATCCCCTCGCAAGCGCCACGCCACACCAGGTACACACCTGTTAAAGAGGAAAGATGAACGGTAAAAAAGTGATTTCCTCAAATAAAAAATCATAGTCTTGGTCAAATTAAAGACCGTTTTGATTTCGAAATGTAACGGATGCAAGCCGAAGTGCGGATAAACCTAGGCTTTAAACAAGTGGTAAAATTAAAAATGTTGTACAACCGACTTCATAAATTATTAATGATAACTCAAAAACTACTGGTCAGACCTTGATCAAATTAATATGGGACCACATGAGATGCACCAGCTTTCAATTAAAAAGTTATTAGGTAACGCACTTAAAAAATACAGTTGAATTGAGAACCTCCTCCTTTTTGAAGTCAGTTAAAAATTGCAAAAAAATATATTTTTGTAATTTTATTACATATCTGATATACTCAGATATTAGATACCTGTGGAGTTTTTCTCACCGATTTTTCTCCTTTGAAAATGATAGTAGATTTAGTGGGTATAAAAAATGACATTTGACCAGTGAGATTTATTTTATTGCGAAACAATAAGTAATAAAAATAATGCGTGAGTGTCGTGGAATACTCGGTTGGAACGAAGTTCCTTGCGTATTATATTATTATTGATAAACTTGGGTGTTATATTATTGATTAACAAATACAAATAATTTAATTACTAGCGTCCATTGAAATGAAGCGTCATTTGAAATAAAAAAATATTTCTTTCATGGCAAGATAAGAAAAAGTGCGAGGGAGGTGGGTATTATTCCATCTCACTTTCTTATTTCGCCGCCAAGGCCGTCTATGACACAAGGGGTAGTGACAGAAAAATCTTACAATTTTTGTCGCCTAGCTCCCATCCGCCAAACCCGTACCGTCCGATAAGGAACTTCGTTCCAATATTTCATATAATTTCTTAAGCCGCGTATCGATAGCGCACTCCTGGCGCGCGCGCGATGAATAACCAGTACGTTCCGCGGAACGCATTCCAAATGTTCGAAGTATATCAACTAAGCGCACCTAGCGCGCGCGGCAGGTATTCTAGTGTTTGACCGTTCAACATGGATGTCTGTCGTGTACGAGCAGCTGCCACTTTCATAGTTCCATGCATCTTCTGTGAGCTCTTTATTATGATAAATACGACTTTTTCTGATCAACAGCAGTTCTTTCGAACCACATAATTTTATCAATTTACGGCAACTTTGGTTATCTATAACTCGGAACGCATTGAACACACGAATGATGAAAACAACCGTCCCAACTGGCGCGCGTGCCATAACCTACTTTGATACGCGGTAAAAAACCGACATCAGATGGAACGACCCGCTACACGTTTGAGCGTTCGTTCTGTGCGCGTTCCTAGGCGGTGTCCATTTCATGCGGCTGGAACGCGCGCCAATTTTAGACGTCTTGGAGCGCATAATCGATACGCGGCTTTAGTCGCCTGCAACTAGTTACAGCCGATTGCGGTAAATTAAACTTAGGTGTACTGTTAAATTGGTCTAAAATACGAAAACACGTATCAAGTTATAACAGATATAAGGGGCGGATATTAATCTAATTTAAAAATATTCACCTAATCGGCTTAATTACAATAAGTTTTATAACTGGAATCCGATTCAAAAACGAAGCCTTAGACAGCAAATATCTAGTTCCGCGGGGATAAGAGACTTCTTTAGTCAGAAGAACTCTTCTCAAGCCATATTATAAACCTGAGACTACCAATAAACCAACTTTTGTTATATAACGAAAGAAGTTTAATCAACCGCTATCAGCGGCATCTAGAATTAACCGGCTAAACTTAAGTCCGCACTTTGGTTTTTATCCGGCACAGAAATACAAAAGCATCAAACAACACTGACCTAGTGAGGCATCGGAACGACTGAATGCGACGGCCCATCGTTGGTGCGAGCAGCAGAAGTCCTTCGAGGTAACATCGCGGTCGGGCTCGCGCGTGGCGGATCTCGTAACCACGAAGGTGAAGACATGAGTGTCGGCGCGGTCTTTGAGCCGCGTCGCGCGGTACAGCAGCGCCATGCGGCCGCGCCGCGCGACTGCGCCAACACGCGCCTAGCTCTGTGCAATAACGCAATTTTATTGTGATGATGATGATGGTGGTGGTTGTGGTGATGGTGATGATGATATGATAGATTATGTGTGGTGGAAAATTGTCGCAGAATAATGCTATATTTCATTAAGAAAAAGAAAACATATTTGGTAATATTGATGAGATCATTTCAATTAATACTACAGCTTACGTAGATTCATATTATTACTGCCTCGTTTGTCTAGTGGTCGTCAACTTCACTGCTTATTTATAATGAAGTCCGGGTTCAAATACCGGGTCGGGTTGAAATAATTTTTCGAGTTTTTCTGACAAGACATTCTCGGTATCAGACAGGACTCAGGAAGATGGTGTTTCACTCCCTTACTTCGGACAGTACGTAAAGCCGTTGGTTCAGCGCTTGATCTCTTTCTAATCGAGACGTCTCACCGTCCCCACTATGAGGCAAAGCATGCGGGTGGCTTATGTTTAGCAGTGAACTGTTGATAAGCGTATATAAACCTACCTGTAATAATGATGCATTACAGCCGTAGTGCATCATGATCGTTACAGCCTATCGCAATTATATTTTTTTTGGAAAAACGCTGTTAGTCATTTTCGTTTTCAAAATTACGCCATCAGGTATATATTTTTTGGAAAAGATAAAAAGGAAGTGTTACCCCTGCTCATCTTGACCGTAACGCTCACACGGGCAATGGTGTGATCTCTTACCAGTCCATGGGTCCAGCGTTTTGATAAATTAATATCATCGGTTTATCGTCAAAATCTAGGGGTGCAACACTTGTAGGTGAATATTTCCTACTTATAATCGATAAGATGGTCCGATTAACCCGTGAGGACTAAGATGGATTGCCTCTTTACCAGTAAACAGGGTCTCCGGTTCTCTACACTTACCATACGAAACACAGCAATGTTAAGCTGCTATTTTACGCTGGTATTCTGTAAGAGCTTGATCCTTCCCCGGTTGAACCGAACCATTCGTGCTACAACTATACTACTAATATAGCTGCAGCATGGCTCTACCACGTATAAAATAGGCATAGGGAAGTAGAAGATAGTAAATTATTTTATCTAGTATGTCTTCTATATTTATTTCTTCGATATCTAATTCTTCTATATCTTAAATTTTATAAAAGATTTTCTTTGATACGTGCAGCCATACAGAAGTAGAAACCCAACTAAATTCGCATCCTTCTTAACGAGACACGATTTCCTAACTTGATTTCATGAGCCTTAAAGAACTTTTCAGCCTTTATTTCATAAAAAATAAAGATATTGAAACGATATTACAAAACCTTTTCACAATTTGTCGTCGTGTTTATAACTATTACACGAGTAAAGATTAATACCGATGTACAACGAGTATTTAAATATTTTATTTTAGTTTTTACAAATATCTCTATTATGGTAGATTACTGAAGATGCTTTCATAGAAATTATTTTACGGTCAAGTCTGGCAACTTTACCAATGGAAGTTAACTTTGACATCAGCGAAGTACAGGTACAAAATTACGATTAGTACAGACAACGTAACATTTTCCGAGATATGCGATTTTTTGGATTAAAATTTAATAAGAGTTGTATCGGACAGGAAGCGGTCATGCGTTCAAGCGTTCTACGTTCGCGTACTGCGTTCGAGCGTTCATTTGGTCACGAGCACCGCTGTTGGAGGGTCTATGCGGTGCCACTACAGTGACTATTATTGATATAGTGGATATTAGCAGCATCAAAACGGAAAAGGAAACACTGGATGCGGCCAGTAAATATAAAGAGAGACCAAAAGGGTGAATTTCATAGACTATTTTGTAAATGGCTTACTAATGAAGAAATTTTTTATAATTCATTTTCGGTCCCCATTTCTCTGGCAATTTGTAACCATCCTTCTGCTACTTTTCCTCGGTTATTTACAATCATCATTCTTCACATCATATAAAAAACACCTTTCTCTTACTAACATAATCAACTTCTCGGTCTTCCTTCCGATGTGGACACCAAAACGAAGTCTCCCATTAACACCGTATAGTAGGTTTTTGAAGAATGCAAGGCTGTAGATATACCCTCATATATTTCCTCCACTTCCTCATCGGGATGTACCGAGGTTGGCGCGTAAGCCTGTATGACCTTCAGCGAATACCGTTTGGTAATTCTGAGTATAAGGTACGCAACCCTCGTCGACACACTCTCAATCTTTACAACGTTGTTAACGAGAAACTTGTAGACGATTAATCCGAAACCTCCTTGGGACAGATGGTCGCCCTCCCGGTGATAGAACAAGTTGCCGGATTCAAGGATTACCATGTCCTCCCCCTCTCTTCACACCTCAGATGATCATATAATATTCCAGCGCAATTTGTCTATCTCTTCATCCAGCTCCAGGATCTTCTCGTCAGTCCACAAGGTACGTGTGTTATATGTTGTCAGGTCGAGTCGTCTTAGGTGGCAACTGAACCTCCACCGGAGAATCTTAGAACCCCCTACTTTTCCGTTACCATGGTCGCCACCGTAGGCAGTAATAGTGGGGCCGCTGGGGACTGGGGGCCGTCTCTTCGTAATTTTAATCATGGGGGATATATTGCCATAGTTGCCACGCTTGACGAGTGGGTTGGCAAGCGCAGTTTATTTTTTTTTTCTGTTATCAGAAAGATGCTGCTGCCCATCTTCTGCCTCAGTTACCCTCTGTCGTCTCTTACGACACCCACGGGAAGATAAGGGGTAATGGGTATTCTTACCCGCCACTACACGGGACAAATTTGCGATCAATGAAATACGATACTCGTACTAATTCCACGACATTATTATTTAATTATTATTATTTATTAAAAAAGATTGTAATACAGTTCTTTGAACGATGTCATCCGAAGGGCTCTTGTCTCTATAAATGTTCCCTCAGTTTTAGAGCCTTGTGGAATATTTAGAGACGATGGCAGGAGACCCGACGGTATGACATTGGTCCCTTGGGAGAGAGGTAAAGCCCTAGTGTGGGATGCTACTTGCGTAGACACTTTGGCGGCCTCTCATCTCAGGGATACCTCGTTGAGAGCCGGGGCGGCATCAGAAGTAGCTGAGCTGAGTAAGTGGTGCAAATATGAGTCTCTGAGAGATGACTACATATTTGTGCCGTTTGCTGTAGAGACTATCGGTCCGTGGGGTCCACGTGCGGTGAAGTTCTTAAAGGAACTCCAACCGCGGCTGGTCGTTGCTGCTGGTGTTAAGAGGGCTGGTTCTTTTGTCGCTCAAAGGCTAAGTATAGCCATTCAGCGGGGAAACGCAGCCAGCGTTCTTAGCACGATACCGCAGGGAGTAGGACTATATGATAATTAAGTTTCTAGTTTTAGGTTTTTTTTATTATTATTATAGTTCTTAATATTGTATATAATTAAATTAATTTTTTAAATCATTATTATTCTTATTTTAATATATAATATACCATGTGTATATAATTATACAGAAGCATGGGCAGGCTATGTAGCTCGAAGAACGAACGACTGATGGGTAAAGAAAGGTTCACGAGTAGCAGTAATGTACCCCATTATATAATTTAACATTTTTTTTATATGATCGGGTGCTAAACGAGCACACAGTCCACCTGATGGTAAGTGGTTGCTGTGGCCCATAGACATCTACATTTATCCTCGTTTGCCAATTTAAAATGCAGATGCGTTGTCAGCTGTGAGGGCTAAGATAGAATGCTTCTTTTCCAGTAAAAAGGGTCTCAGGTTCTCTACACTCACCATACGAATGACAGCAGTTTAAACTGCTTTTTGCCGAGGCGTCGAGCGCCACGACAGTAGCTCGGCGTGTGGGCCATCGTATAGTATTGTTTGCGACCGTGAGTTGGTCGGGCGCGGTCCGTGTGGTGAAGAATTGTGCGCGTCGTTTTGAATTTATTATCGAAGATTTGGGTCTCGTTAAGACCGCCTCGAATGGAGTTGTCTATTTTGAGCGTTTGAAGTGATAACGAGGCTTATCCTAGAGTTTTGAGTTATTAATTTAACTTATATTGATATTAATTGCAGTCGTTTTGCTCCGTTGAACTGCGAGGTCGCGTGTAAAAGGAAACCTCTAATTCGTGTCGTGTTAGTACGTTTACGTAACGACGAGGCGTTTTTTCTTGAGTTTGAGTGATTAACTTAACTTCGTTTGCAAGTAATTTACGTCAATTTGTATAGTGATTGCATGTTGAAGTGAATTTGGCAATATTTATTTTGTTTGTGGCATTTTAATATCGTACGAAAGAATTCTGTTTGTCATGTGGTACGCTGAACTTTGTAACTCGAGAAGAGACCGCGTTCGTTCTCGTGTTTATAATGTTGTGCTAAGTGAACCTGGAACATACCACGACCTCACAGAATACCAGCGTGAAGTAGAGGTTTACCTCTGCGTTTCGCTTGGTGAGTGCAGGTGGCCGGAGGCCTTTTTTACTGGAAATGAGGCATTCCATCTTAGTCCTCACGGGTGACAACGCATCTATATTTTGATTCGCAAACGAGGATAAATGTAGATGTCTATGGGCCACAGCAACCACTTACCATCAGGTGGACTGTGTGCTCGTTTGTCACCCTATCCTATAAAAAAAAAAAAAAAATATTGAACTTTGATCGACTGTTCTTTACTTGTCTCGTGTGTCACTTGTTTTAATTCGATGAACATTGATTTTGTTGAATTTGAAGTTAATTAAGTGTACAATAAAGTTGATAGATTGAAATAGTGTACGATAAAGTTAATAAACTGAAATAGTGAAATCGAAGCAGCAGGTTTCAATTGGGGATCGCACATTTCTCGGAGATAAGCAGCGCCTGTGGATCTGCGGTCTGACTACCTCGGGGGAGTCAGGTTCCATTTACAAACACTTTCGCACACCACTTTACATACACCCCACTTATCACCTGACTGGTACCCTGTGGTCAACCCTACCTCCGGAGATCGGTAAGTTTTGTTTGATTATCAGCTGAAGTTGATTATGTTGTTGAAT